ATGCCTTGGAAAGGATCTTCTTACATTATATCTATTTAGTGTCCTTTGTGTCTCCTAGATTTAGATATCTGCATATCTGCATGTCTCTCTGAATTTAGAAATTTTTCAGTTAATACATTATGAAAGATGTTTTCTATGCCTTTTCCTGTTTCTTCACCTTCTGCAAAATCAATTATGTGGATATTTGGCCATTTAATGGTGTGTAGGATTTCCTCATTGTCCTTTTTCTTCTTTTTTTTTTTTTTTTTTTTTTTTTGAGAGCTTTTTACTATAGGGTGCATGTGCTCGCCAGAAAGACAGAGTGACAGAAAGTGAGATATCACCCCCCAGGGGGGATGGCCACACCTCAATCCCTTCTCCATTCTCCTCTCGGGATCTTGGGCACGCACGCACACATGCCTGGCTCACATGAGTTTAAGCCACCAGGTCCAGGATTCAAACTGTGGTCAACTACATGGGAGTTCAGTGACATAGCCATTATGCAAACTGCGGGTCCCCATTGTCCTCATTTTTAATGAGGTTATTCTTTTACACTTTTCAGTTGCTTGAACTAAATTGGAGGTTTTGTCTTCAAGATCAAAGATTCTTTCCTCTGCATGGTCTATTCTGCTCTTAATACTTTTGAGGGAGGTTTTCTTTATCTCCAGAAATTCTACTTGATTCTTTATAAGTTTGTTTATCTCTGTATGGAGTTCCTCCTTCAAGTCATGGAAGGATTTCTCATCTCCTGGAATTGGTTGTCTTTCTTCATATCCTAATGTACCTGGAATTTATTGAGTCATAGAACAGTGAAGAGCCCTTGCTTTATTGCTTGTTATCTAATGCTACTTTACAAATAATCCAGTATTTCTTCTACATTTAAAAAATATTCTTTTATATCAAATTTTTTTAGTTTTTATTTTTATTCTTTTATGAGTTAGCACAAGAGAGAGAGAAAGAGAGAGAGCGAGAGCGCTCCTAACAGTCTTGATGCTGCAATCCACCTTCAGCTTCAGCCAGCCTGGACGAAGGGCAACATGAATGCCTGGTATATTCAGAGATGTGAATCGAGAACTTTACACATATCCAGCCTCACAGAGTATCATGTTTTACTGAGCCACTGTCTGATCCTATAATAAATTCTTATATTTTTCTTTTTTTTTCTTTTTATTTTGTTCTACTGATCTGTATACTCCACAGTAATATAAAACTTTCTAACTTATTTTGATCTTAAAATATATAGGCATGTGCCACATGGTAATATTTCAGTCAATGATGAACCACGTAAACAGCAGTGATACCATAAAACATAGACTAGACCATATAACATAAATATTAGTAGGTTATATCATCTAAGTTTATGTAAGTACACTCTATGATCTTACAATTATGAAGTCAGCTAATAATGTCTTTCTCAGAATGCATTTCTGTTATTATACTGACATATGACTGCATTTATTCTCCAGATTATTTTATATTTCAGATGGCATAGAAATACAAGTGAATCTTGAAAAGTTCATGAAAAAAAATGGAATTAAACTACAAGTTTATTTTGGTATAAAAGTATGGAAATTCATGGATAGCTTTTGTTTACTATTCATCTTAATATCACTTCCTGAAGACCTCTTAAACCCATCTGTTTAAACTGTGAACATAGTTATTCCACAGGTTTGCAAATCTACATATAGAATCTAAGTGAATTTTCACAAAGTCTAATAACTGGAACCAAAAGTAAAAATAATCATATCAAATTAGAACAGATACTGGCCAATTTGAAGAGTACATAATATTATAATCGATCATTTAATTCATTTTGCCAGTTAGAATAGTATACTTACATGTATACTGCCTACCAGCCACAGATTACTGATGGTCACTAACTTCTTATTTACTTCTAGCATAATTATAAGGTATTTCCTTCTGTTGAAGTTTGCATATACATTCTATTGAGTCAAGATACATGTGTATATGTTGTTTCCCCCAAATGTTCCAAGCCTTCTCAGAGGCAAGGGTATATTCTAGGGAAGCTTAAGATCTCTACCAAGGAGCTTAGCAGAGACCACCATATATTAACAATTACTCAGTAAATATCCATCAAGTAAAATTCATCATTGATTATATAAAATGTACTTCAGATCATGATATGTGGCAAGAAGACCATTAAACTAAAATTTATAAACCTTATATCCCTCGCAAGTAGATTTCTATTGCTCCTATCACATGCCTTGCTATGTTTTCCTTTATTGTTTTCCCCTTCAATTCAACTCAATTGAACAATCATCTATTTAGAAGATGCTGCATGTCTAAATGTGCTAGGTGCTAAGCATACAAATATAGCAAATACATTACTTTATCCTCATGGAGTTTACAGTCTACCGATTTAATCATACTTCTCAGAACACCTTTCCTTCCCTGCCTTCTAGCTGTTCTAACTCTTCTTCAACATCCACAGTGAATTTTACTTCCTCCATCAAGCCTTCCTAAGCTATTTTATCCTCAATGTTTCTTCCCTCTGTGGAAATCTTAGCATGTGATGTATATTTATCTAATTCTCTACTTAGTCTTCAGTAATTTCAATATATCTATGCATCTTGACTTTTTTATATTGCACAGGATTGCATGAAGGAAGAGTAGAAATTGAGTTTGGATTCAAAAGAAGGAAGGAAAATTGGCTATAAAAGATAGATCTTATGGAAAGAAGCCATTTCAGACTGCTAATGCAAACATCTCCATATTTAAAAGCTACTAACCTAGAAACACCACACTCTGTCAGCTTTCTCAGGAGCACAAGTCATAGTCAGGGAGGAAAGATCATGGGCCAGCCAAGTTGTTTTATTAATGAAGGGCATAGTCATATTTACCCCCTTTAATGCCTAATTATATGTCCCCTCCCCCACCAAACAAAACCCTCTTTCTCTTGCTTTATGAGTTCTAAAACCTCTTTAATAAGCAGGGATGGAGAGCAGGTGGAGGGTGTCTATTTTACATTTAGAGACTTAAGTGCATGGTTAATACTTTGCTGTGACTGACGTTTTGATTAAGGTGAAGAAATTAATCAATCAACATGTGTAAAAGATATATTATTAATTTATTTCTCATCTTTATTGTTAGGTAGGAAGGCAAAAATGGAGGGAAAGAAGGAAGGAAGAAGAGGCTTTCAGGAGAGCAAAAGGTATCTGATGAGGAAGAACACGTGAACATCTCCCCAGCTACCCGCAGAGGTGTAAGAAGAAAACTAAAGTCAAAAGGGAACAAGCTGTTGTACAGTGGTAAAATATGATGCTCTCCAAGGCAATAGCGCATTGGAAGGTCCTCAGTTGAAGTCCAGAGACCTCCCTAAGTATGCTGGGTACATGTGTGCCCATGAACCAGGACTGACTGAAGGCTGACAGTGGAGCGAAGTGTCCACACTCTGTTCAGGGTGTTGTATCAAAACAAACAAACAAACAAACAAACAAACTTCATTAGGATTGACTCTATTCACCTACAGGTGTGTTGAGACATATGTAGAAACTATACTGAAGAGTTTGGATTAGGGAGCTACCAAAGCAAAGAACTCTATTTGGTTTAATTCAAGATTTTCTTTGTTATTTATTTCTTAGCACTAGTAGTTTCATATAGAGGAGGTGTGTTCACAGGCAATTCATTAAAAAAATATGAGAAATACAAATGTTTGTCATATTCACTTTCTTCCACTTAAAAGTTAAGAATATTTGTTTTTAATTTATAATAAATATGTTCCTTCAATAGTTTTTCTTTCTTTTTAAATATACATTCTTTTGGGGAAATTTTAAGGTTTTCCAGAACCAGCAGTTGGCATAATGGCTATGTCGCTGGACTCCCATGTAGTCTACTGTGGTTCAAGTCCCAGACCTGGTGGCTTAAACTCACACTGGCACATGTGCATGCATGCCCAAGATCCCAAGAGGAGAATAGAGGACAATGGAGAAGGTATTGTGGTGTGGCCACTCCCCCTGGGGAATGATTTCTTGTTTTCTGTCTCTCTGTCTCTCTCTGTCTGTCTGGTGAACCCATGCACTCTATGGCAAAAACCTCTCCAAAGGGGGGGGGAGGGACTTTTTTCCAACAAAATATTCCCTAATAACTTTATATACAAAATACTAAATTAAAGATAGACCATTGATCTGACTCAAGTTGGCACATGTGGACTTGTCCTTCAAGTGAATTTTAATACAGAGGATACTAGAGTAGATTACCACTACCAAAACTGGATTTTAAATCACTGATATTATATTTTCCATTCAGAAGAGGACTATCTTTTTCAGAATACAACCAGAAGTATATTTCCTTAAAAAAAAAATCAACATGAACAAGAGAAATGTCTTTAAAATTGGAAATCACACTCTGTGTATACCATAGGACAAAACCAGATGATGATAAGTAACATAAATCCATAGGTACATTTTCCATCATTATCAATTATTATAACAGTGCTGACTTGAAATGAAAATTCATGATTACTGAAAATTCATATGTTCTTTTTTTCTGGAGAGGTTTTTGCTACAGGACGCATGCACTCACCAGAGAGACAGAGACAGAGAGACAGAAAGCGAGAAATTACCCCCCAGGGGGGATGGCCACACCACAATCCCTTCTCCTCCATTCTCCTCTCAGAATCTGGGGCACACATGTACACACACCCGGCGGGAGTATAAGCCCCCAGGTCCAGGACTCAAACCGCAGTCAACTACATGGGAGTTCAGCGACATAGCGATTACGCTAAATGCCGGTCCCTGAAAATTCATATTTGAAAAGTGTTTCTTACCTTTGTGATAAGAGCTCAACAAAAGCAGTTCATCGTATTTTAATTCATATATTATATAAAATAAATTATAACAAAGATATTAAATGTCGTATGTGAAAGTAATTCTTTTAAAAATGATCCTTCTTTCATCAACAATTTAAACATTTATTGCAAATTAGAGGTTGAGTGACCCCAAACAAAAGTAAAAAGTTAGTGTAAAAAACCCTACAGAATTCAAGTAGTTTTAGCTCATCACCTGTATATGTCTTGTAATTGCAGATCAAAATCTTGAAGTTTCTTTTGATATTTCTCTGTAAAGTTACAGAACTCATTAAGGATTGAAGATTTCAAGTCAGGGTAGGGACATTCCAAAGTTTCTAATTCCATGGGCGGTTCACTAAGCACATTGGTTTTTTCTGCTGAAGAATGCTCTAGTATCTGAAAAAGAAATATGCAATTACATTATTTAGCATAAATAAATTGATAAATAAATGGCTAGTTGTATCAAACTTACTTTCACACTCCAGTCTGAAAGATCATTTTCTATTTTCTGTTGCTCTAGAATAAGTTTTTCAAAGACAGCTTTCAATTGTTTCTTCACAATGTCAACCTGTAGGACATTGGGAACAGGATGTATGCGTATCATTCCAACTCTTCCAATATTCATATTTAGACTCAAGAATTCTTTTCAAAAAAATAATGATATTCTTCAATAACTGATGAAAACACCTGTGGAAAAGTATTAAAGAGATGCCAGCCAGCTAGCACTCATCAAACAAAGGAGTTTCAGTGAGGCTTCCAGACACAGAAACCAAAAATAGGGCTCAGAAAGTAAAGTATGGTCACAGCCCTCTGTACTTACATTCGGATTGTGTCTGTTGAAGGGCACAGAACTTACATTGTCTCTGTGTCAATCACCCTCTCTTTCTTCCCTGGCATCCTTACTCTTAATCCAAGCAGGGATTTTAAATGATTAGTTATGAAGGCACTATAGCACATTACGGAATAACTGAATTCAAAAATTACCTAAAACCCTACACCTAGCACTATACACAAAGAATTCACACTCTATTAAGAGAAGGAATTCAACAAACCAATAAAATAAAATAACTAAGAAAGTTTTAGGTGGAGGAGATAAGTGATGTAAAAATGCTAAAGTGTGATGGGAAATGACTAAGGCTTCTCGGGACAGGAATCTTGGAGGAAAGAACATTTAAGACAAAACTACGATGACAGAAGTGCCATCAGTCAGAGAGAGAAGACAGCCAGTGCAGAGGCTTTAAGACCGAATCCAGACTGACCTGTGGGAGGCACAGAAAGAAGGCAGTACCAGTGTGACAGCTCTTACAGGGAAGGAAGTGTCAATAGGGGACATGCATGAAGAAGCAGGAAGGGAGCATGGGGGGGGGTGAGCTTAAGGGGAAACAGGAGTGCTAGGGTGAGAGGGTTCAGCAACAGGATCATCTGCCCCCCCCCCATGTCCTGGGATTAGGATCCTGAAAAGGGCTAGGAGGAGGGGCAAGAATAAGAGCAGGTAGACCACCTGTGTAACATTCCAGGTGAGAAATGAAGGCGCTTGTACAGATTCAGGGATACGTTTAAGATAGTAAACAGGCACAATTTATTAACCTTCTATTCACATACACAAGACACACTGGTTTTTTATCTCAAACTAATCTTGTTGGTACAAAAATTAAATATTACACTATTGAAAACGAAGATAATACACTAACCTCCTCCAGCAGCTTCACTGAGTTAAGCTCAGTATGTGGGTGTGAATGCTGTAAAGTAGGATGTTTGTGCTTTAGATCTGCTCTCAATTGCCAAACAGGACTTAGGACATTTTTAACATAGGCAACCCATTGCTCTGATAATGCTTGTTCTGTGATGAAACAAATCATATCAAGGAAGTGCTTTATTAAGTTTTTATAAGAATAGGCATTAGAATACACATTTACTTTTGGACTCCTTTTTAAAGAAATAGATATAGTTAAAAGATCATTGGGGTCAGCAGGTAGCATGGTGGTTAAGGCACTGGACCTGCACTGACTGACTGAGCTTTGAATCCTGGACCGGTGCCTTGCTTTCTCACTTTTCCTCTCTCTGTGTCTGTCTGTCTCTCTCTGGTGAGCACATGTGCCCTATAGCAAATAAAATAATAATAAATTAATTTTTTTAAAAATTAATGAACCACTCTTTTTTTAAAAGAACAAAAAAGGATCATTAAGTGAATAGCCCATTTAATTTTTCAAAACAAGATCCTCCTTTTAATAAAAATCAAAGAAATCTCACCAAAATCCACAATGTCACAAAGGCATTCATTTCCGATGTTTTCTTCAATGAGTAAGGATTTTATTTCAGATTCCATTTTATGTCTGAAATAGACATGACAATCAATTTTCTAATCATAAACATGTTATATATATATATGTATTTATATTTAAGAACAGGTAGAAGTACTCAGTCTATTATGATTTTGCTCACGTCTTCAGATCATATACTGAAGCCCTAAAACGGTTTGGGTACTTGCCAGACACTGGGCTAGGAAGGAGCATGAGACTCAGGGAGAAGTAACAGCATGAACAAAGGCCAACACATGGCAGATCCTGGCACTGCTTCATGTGGAGCGGCCTAGAGCATCAGGAAGGCCGCTGAAGGATATTCAGCTGACCTCACCCGCTCAGATCACTGTTTCAGGAAGATTCCCAAAGCAGCAAGATAGAGGGTAGCCTTGAACCGGATAAGCAAGAGAAACAGGAGATAAAGAGGAAGGCAAAACAAGGCCACCACAAGATTATTTAAGATAAGATCCCTGAACTCAGGAAAGGGGAGTAATTTTTATGCTCTAGTAATAAAAACAAATCATAATTATCTTTTACAATATTTAAAAAATACGATCATCTCTAGAGTAAAACATAACCAATTTTAAATGGGCATTCAACAGTCTTACAATCTACTCCTTGCTTATAGCAGATTAAATTACAGATAGGAGTTTTGATTTATGGCGATTACTGAAATACAGTATTAAAATGGCATAAAATAAGAAAATAGCAACTATAATACTTTAATCAATGATTGTTCTATTTTTGCATGTAAGTTTCTAGCCTTCATCTGCATATCTATATATTTGTCATCATTGTCATTATAGCATATTTAATATTTTATATTGTGGTATTTTTTGTTTAACATTGATTTTTTTAATATTTCTAAATAGTTTTCATAATTATCATTTGAATGGTTATACAGTATTTATTCCAATTTATGTATATGCCATCACCTTCTAAGTCAATTTACTGACATGGGACAGGATTTTTCTTTTAGACAATTCTTCACTGTTTTTTTAGAACATAGTTTTTGACAGAGATATTTTTAAGATCACATTTGCAACTTTTATATGGAGAATGGGTGGATAATTATGGAGTCAAACCAGAAGTTATTTCGGAACAGATTTGTTTAACCAAAAATACAGCACTTAAGAACCATCTAGCTCAGCTCCCTTCCATTTTCAACACCCAGAAAGCCATAAGATTACATACAAACTACCAGGAGAAGGAAGCTATAGGTATTTTTTGATGTTTTAAGAACACTGATCTTCCATCTAGAATGTTGGCTCTATCCTAGAAGAAAAAAAGATCTGAACTTAAAGTAGACTCCTAAGGGCTCAAAAACACCTTTCACCAGGCTGGTTTATCTTTAAGCAGATGCACTGCAGAGATTAACATATAATTCAGACAAATGATCACACAAAAATGCAGCAGTTTCTTTGTGGTACAGAATAAAACAAAGGAATAAGTGCCCTTGAGAAAGTGTATCTGAGTCCTTGGGGGATATATAATAGATTGAGTAAGAACATTAAACTTTAAATAAAATTTTATCAATTTAATTATTAAACATAATTTTATATTCAGGGCTTTCATGTATTTTCTTAGTACTGATTTTAGAGAATTAAAGTTTGGCAACTTTATTTTTTCTTGCTAGCCAGGCTAGACCAATTAGATCTCAGGTGATAGGACTAGAACCTTGTGGAAGACAGAAAAAGCTGCTCAACCTCAAGGTTGTGGAGCACAGCGGTTAGGTGCACATGGTCCAATCCCAGCTCCACACAACATAGCTTATTTACCAGCTACAAATAACTTTAATCTTCTGAGATCAGATTCTCATGTGTAAAATTGCAATAGTATCTACTTTGCAAAGTCGCTGCAAGGAGTAAGACAAAACAGGTGAAGTAGTTAATGTATTACCTAACACTCTAAATTACCAATAAAAATGTGCTCTTGTTGTAGGCCCTTCTCTTCCATAGGCCTGAGGGTCTTAAATGGAGCCTCTTACAAAAAAGCATAAAAATCTTGCACTTATTAAAAGGAGGTATAGATTTTTAAAGATTGACAAACACTGAGAGAGCATAAACTGCTTCTTTTATTTCTTTAATTATTATTATTTTTTATATTACATTTAATCCCATATATTTTTACAGTGTATAACATTTCTTTTTCCGGCATGATTACCATGCATATCATTCAACACAAAGACATTACTATCCACATCATCATCAGCAAATGATTTTCAGTTTTTTCAAATTACTATTATTTATTATTATTTTTTTAAACATTCGATTGCTATACGTCACTTGGCTTGTAAAGAGAATTTACCCAACATGAAACACTTCTCAGACCAGTCCAGTTGAGAATACTATAGATGTTATCATTGACAGGTAATAAATCATTGCTTAAACTACTTCTGATTTGCTGGTGGTCCCTAAACTCATCACAAAACTAGTCATTTCTCCAACTTACCTCGTACTGCTATTAGTTTTTAATTTAATTGAACCCATATTTCTATTAGCCTACATTCTAGAATAACTCAGAAATGATCTTGGAAGTCTTCTTTCTGTACAACTGTCAGCCCTGATAGGATTCAGGACATTAAGACAATTATTACTTAAATGTTCCTCACTTCCATTGTTTTCATTTCATTCCAAGTCAGCCAAAGGAATTATTTTCCATAATTACATGTGTATGGCTCTCCTATCTAGTTTAAGAATAAGTAATACACACATAAGGGGGATGTGGAACAGCCATTATTAAAATCTTTTTCAGGATCTTTTACATTTGAATTTGCATTGATGAGCATCATGATTAAAGACTTCTAATGATTCCTTTTTATCAGGATTCAAGGCAGAAAGATTTTTCAAAAAATATTCTCTACATAAAAGGTTTCTTTTAGGGATAAGATGCTCTAATTTAATTTTCATAGCAGAAATATTAAGACAAAATAAGCCTATTTAATCTTGTTTTTCTGTTCTAAGTTATATAATAATGTAAAAATATTTCCAATCATAATCCTTTGCATTTTCTTTACTATCACTTGCCAGAAAAAGAAACCCTTATCAACACAAAAGCACCTAAGTCAAAAGCAAAGTTAATGATATTTGGAAACTTGACTTAGATTAGGACTTCAGAAATTATATATTTTGCTATAAAATAAATGCTTAAAAATATACATTCTTAAAAGCATAATTCATAAATAACACCACCACTAAAACAAGTATGTCTTCCTTTAAAAAAAAGATTTTGTCATAGGACTCATGCACTCATAGGAGAGAGAGAGAGACAGTAAGAGGGAAAGCAGGAAATCACCCCCTCCCCCCACCCCCCGAGGATTTAGAGGGAAAGCAGGAAATCACCCCCTCCCCCCGCCCCCCGAGGATTGGGACAATCCCTTTTCCTCCATTCTCTTCCTGGAATTTTGGGCACACAAACACATGTACCCAGCATGATTTTCAAGCCACTAGGTCCAGAACTCAAACTGTGGTCGACCAAGGGGGAGAGTCTAGCACCTTAGTCCCACTATGTCTAGCTTTAATGGAGGAGAAAAACATATGCCTTTTCTTTCTACCTTGGCCTTTGAAAATAAATTTTTCAAAACTTACAATTAAGATAAAATATGCAAATGTTATTTTAATTCATCATTGAATGGCTGCTGGAAATAATGACAAAAGTCAAAAAGCAAAACTGACTAACTCATGAGGTAGCTACATCCAGAACAACTCGAACTCCTTAGTTCATTTGCTCATCCATGTATGAAAAGTATTCACACATCTTCTGTATAGCTTATGGTGTAAAGCTAAATATGAAGGAAGAAGATAACCGTTTCACAGGGAAGAAACATGTATAACCAAAACATTATAATCCATGTGCTATATAATAGTTTACAATAAATGCAGCTGTGAGAATGGAGTGCAGAAGATGTGATTGGTAGATCCAGAAGATTACCTTTTGTACTGTAGAAAGCAAAAGTCATATATTAATATATTCACCAGATTTCAGATTAAGCTAAAGAAATGAAAAGATTTCAACTTGATTCACATTCAAACTATAGAATTTTGAGGTAATGGTTTAATTAACATGAAATATTACAGAACCTCTGACTAGGTGAGTCTCCGCTTAGGATTCTGTGTTCTTACTGAGATTGCCCAGCTCTTACCTGACTTCATGCAGCCTTTGGTGCTCTTGCCACCACACTTGCTTGTGCTGTTTTACCAGTGTGTGTTCTTTAGATAGCTTTGAAGTCTGCACTGCTTTTTTGATCTAGATTTAGAGCAACAAAAGAGACATGACAACGCTTTTTAAATGTGTTTTCTACAGTAGAAATATTTAATATGCATTTTCCAAATTAAAACTTAAAACTACGCAATATTCTTTCTCAGTCCTTATCAGTGCATCTTATAATACAAACTTCATCTAAAATAAGTGCTATTTTAAAAAGCAAGAAAGGGAAGAAATTATTTGGAATACTGACCAACTTAAGAACTGGTTTTTTAGAGGTCACGGGTGCTTGCTGGAGAGAGACAGAGACAATGAGAGGGAAAGTGAGAAATCAGCCTCCCCCCCAGGGGGATGGTCACAATGCAATCCCTTTTCCTTCTTTCTCCTCCCACACGCACATGTGCCAAGCACAATTTTCAAGCCATGGGTCCAGGACTTGAACCATGGGTGGCCATGTGGGAGTCCAACGATGTAAATCGCTATGCATCTTAAAGTATGTATGAAAAGAAAGGCGAAGTCATTTTATTTTCCCTATGTATAATAAATAATATCTTAACTCATACAGCCCCAGAGAAGGTTTCAAGAGCTTTCCGTATATTTTACCCTTTAGGACATATACTTCCTTGCAAGGTATAATAGGCATCATTATTTTTGTTATATAGATGAGGACGCTGAAGGTAGGAGAAGTTAAAAGACTTGCTCAAGATGATAAAGCTCATTAATAAATACCAGAGTCACAAAGAATCTTAGTGTTTGGATTAATTTAAAAATGTGTAAAATATAATAAAATGGGAAGGGCCCATTGGAGAAATGGTCAGGAGGCCTGGCTTTAGTCTCAACTTCAGCACTTACTAGATATGTGACCTTCGAGCTGACTCCATGGTTTAGTGGTTAAGGCAGCCAGATTTCACATGGCCAACCTCACGGTTTGAGGTCCAGACCCAGTGGCTTGAGAAACATACTGGGCGCATGTGCACAAATGCCCCAAACCCCGACAGGGTGGAGAAATGGAGCAGAAGGGACCATTCCACATGGAGGATGCTTTCTCCCTTTCTCTCTCTCTGTCTCTCTCTGGTAAGTATAGGTATACTCTTGCAAAAATTAAAAAGAGAGAGAGAGAGGAAGGAAGGAAAGAAGGAAGGGAAACAAAGAAACAGAAAGAAAGGAAGAAATATGACCTTGAACACACAACTTTAATCTTTTACTCCTTGGCTTTCGAAATAATTTTTTTTTAAATTTAGGTAAATATCAGAGATACTTAAGAAAAAAAAAAGTGAAAATCATATAGCATTAAAACTCAATTTTTAAAAAAGTTTATTTCTTCCATGAAAGAGAGAGAGTCACCCCTAACAGAGTCTTCACATCACAATAGATTCCCCTCCCCACAACCCTCAGCCAACCAGGATGTACAGGGGAAGCTCAGGACATGAACCTCAGGCCTTTCCATGTGGTCTTGGCATTGCTGAGTGTGAAGTTTTGGTGCTACTGCAGCTGGCATAAGACCCATATTTTCAACTAGATTTAATTTTCCCAAAATGTTATGACTTTTAAAAATGTAGCACATAATTAGTGTTTTGGGGTTTCTGTCGAAATCTGGTGCCAGGTCCAGGACTGTTTGCCTTAGATACATTCCTGGTCACCTCCCTGTTCTGCTCCATATCGCAGAACAGACACCGTTTCTCAAACACCCCATCAACTGGCTTCCAGCGTGGTGCAGCAAAGAGACACTGGTAATGGGAGACTGAAATCAGGGAGGAAAGGGGAAGCCAAAGATTACCCCATCTCTCCCTTCTCTGCTCTCACAGGGGTCTCCAGGAATATCTGCATCTCCTCCATTGCTCCAACTTTCTCTGAGAATTTCCTCTACTGAACACTATCTCTGAGTAACCCCAGCCTATGGGATAAGGTACTGCCTTGATTCTTCTATTTGTCCCTCTGACCCAGGGATGGAAGGGATTTCCTGTGGCTGCTAATTTCTATATTGCCTCACACTTCTCCGGCTGCCTTCTCAGTTCTATCACCTGTATAACCATTTCCTACATTAAAGGCCACTCTACTCTAAATTCTCAAGCACTGTTTGTTTCCTGGTTAGACTCTGAAATAACATTCATGTGCACTCTGAACTCAAATATTCCATATTAAAATTTTAAACATCTGTATAAGTATAAATTGAAAAGCTGATGAAACACACATATTGCATAAGTTCTCTGCTACTGGAGTACTCAGTACTCTGAAAGCTTTAACCAAATCAATATGGAAGATATAAAAACTTCAGAAGACAAGTTCTAGAAAGGAATCTTAATAATGCATGCTATTTCTAGCTGTCATTCACTGATTACTTTACCCTTGAGTTTATCTTTCTGCTGTTCTGGTTACTGATTCAAAATTAGGGGTATAAGAAAACAAATTAACTCAAAGATTACTTTAAAAATGCAAAGTCAGAGTCAAATCTTTTTCTCAGGAGCTCCTATGAATGCTACAATTATGAAATTTAGGAGGAAACCACATTTTAAGTAAGTGCAGGACATTACAGAAAAACATTCAGCAGTCTCTATTTTATTTATTGCAAAAAATAAAAGTACACTGCATTTCTAGAATCTGACAATCTACAGTTGGCTTTTAAAATGCCTAAAACTCATTCTATTTACTATTTACAGTTTTTAAAGTTTATTTTATGGACACAATTTTTAAAATTAGATTTCTTTGACATATTTGGTCCATGTTGTACAAAAAAATTAAAACACATTGGGAGAAGATATGGACATATTTTTTAAAAAAATCAATGCTGCTGCCTTTGCATTCAGGGAAAGGCCAATTAAGTAGACCATAAAAGTCAAAATAAAGCTACCATTTTTCACTGCATACTTCCAATATTTTGCAGAACATACTGATTTTTTGTAAATTCACTCATTGATTTTACTTCTATCCTCTGGCCAAAAATGAGGAAAAATAAAATCTTAAGAAGAACAAAAAGATTTAAAGTTGTATCTATATCAATAGAGATTTTTAGGTGATTCCAAATTGTTTTACTTGGCAATAAGTCATATAAAATCAATATTTAAGGTAAATGATGTATGTGGAATGTTGATGATTTACAAGTCCTTTGGAAAATTGAGAAAAAATAATGATTTCATAAAGAATTAGAAACTAGGAGTTCCCTTGTGTGGTTTGTTGGGGCAGTCCAAAATAATGAAACTCTAAAGAGGAACCTTGAAATAACACAACACCCCTCTAGCCAGAGAATCTATCTTTAGGTGGAAACATCAATGACCAGTGGGCAATCTAAATGTTTTTTACTTGTGTGTGAATATTAGCCAAAATTCACTGGGAGGTACATTTAAGATTTGTGCAATTCATGGTCTGTGAATTACACCTCAATTTAAAAAAAGTTAACAAAAATACAAAGGAAAAAAACTGCAATTTCTCATACCAGGTTGGCAAAAACTCAAATGTTGAACAAAACACTCTGTGAGACTATGGGGGAGCATGCTCTCTCTTACACTGTTAGTGAGAGTGCAAAATGATGCACCCCTATAGAAGGGAATTTGGAGATTTACCACAAGATTTCATACAAATGTATCCTGTGACCTAGTGATCTCATTTATGGAAATCTTTCTGAAAGTTTTATTAGTAAAAGTAGAAAAAATGCAGAAAGCTATTTACTGCATTGTTTGTAATTTTAAAAGGATCGGAACACAAAAATTCCATAGTAAATGTTTTTGCCAAAATAAGCTGAATCTGAATCTGATCAAATCTCCAGATATAACTACTAATTCATTGCAAATACAAGAGACAGAAAAACATATTAAATGACACCACCAGGATGCAATCAACATAATTCAAACGGTAAGAAATTATGAAGGACAAATAATGCAATTCCTTCAAAAAATAATTACAAAATATAGTAGGATAGAAGAGAAAAACTTTTAAATTAAAAACTAATTGTACTACATGGATCTTATTTAGATGCTGATTTGAAAAAATTTTAAGAAAAAAAATTTGGAATGATCAGGAAAACTAAAAACTAACTGGATATTTTAAATTATTAAAAAATTAACATATTTACACATAGATTGGTATGGCAGGACTTTATTTAAAAACTCTGACATTTTATAGATACTAAAATATTTGTAGGTAAAATTATGATGTCTAACATTTGCTTCAAGATGATCTGGCCAGGGTGTGGTTTTTGAGCGAGAATAGAAAAAACAATGGCCAAAAGTTGATCGTTGTTGCAGTTGGACAGTGTTATATGGAGATTCATTATGCTATTCACTCTAACTGTGCATATGTTTATAATTTTCCATAAATATGTCAGAAAGAGACAAAGAGAGAGAGTAAACATTCCTCAACTAGGAGTGTGTGCACACTACAATTCTTTTCTTCTCTATTTCTACATCACATCAGGATCCTGGGGACAAGCCTGTGCTGACTGTGTTGCTGTCATGTGTAATTTGAACTACCGTTGGCGTGTGGGATCCGGCTTTCCTATGTACAGTCCTTAACCACTTCTACAGAGCCAGCCCCCCTAATATGAAGTTTTTAAAAAAGAATTAGTAACTGGATTCTTGAGTTGGACAAGAAGTATCTAAGCAAGGAAATTCAAATAAAAATAATTGGAAATGGTAGACGCCCCAAATATTCAGACAAGAAGCCCTTTTAAAGCTGAGGTGTGTCCTGGTGCATTCAGGGAAACCATGCTCTAAGCCCATCTCCTAGACTCACAAAATGTTCAGACAAGGTAGGACGATCTCCGTCTTCTCTCTGTTTCTGGCTGTCTGCCTCTCTCTGTCTCACGCTCTCTCTCCCTTTAAATTTTTAACCTTTTTAAAATACTTTTTAATCTTACTTTCTTACTTTAAGCTTCACTCTACACACACTTAATGTCTAGATAAGCCTCGGTGCATAGTAGCCAAGCATCCAAATTTTTTTAGTCATTGAAATCCTCAACGCTTAACGAACCCCGTGCTTTGATGAAGGAATTTCTTTCTATAAATCTGAACTCCTAATCTTACTGTTGAAACCATATTACTAAGCACTGTGGAGGAAAGGTTTTGTCACAGAATGACCACAAACAACCACAGAGGCACAAGAAACATGAGAAACCAAGAAAATATCTCTTCCCTAAGGGAAAATAACAATACCTCATCATCCACTGACAGTACAGTAGAATTCATGAAAATGTCTGATAAAGACTTCAGAATATACATAGTGACAAAACTAAACAAGATGCAAGAGCTGAGAGATAATGAACTCCAGAAGATGCTGGAGAAAAGAGACAACAAGTTCCAGGAGCTGCTGAAGTTCCTTCATGATCTGAAAGAGGAAATACACAGCATAAAAAAGAATCAAATGGAGCTTTTAGAGATGAAGGCTGTCCTTCAGGAAATCAAAATGTCCCTCAAAAGTATTAAAAGCAGATCAGTCCATGAAGAAAATAGAATCTCAGATGTTGAAAGCAAAAAACAACTTCTGAACTAGAAAATACAACCAAAAAAGCTGAACATATAACCCCCCCCCAAAAAAAAAAATGAGAATGCTGTCTGAGAAATACTAGACAGCATTAAGCACCCAAACATTTGGATAATTGGTATCCCAGAAGGTGAGGAAACTAAAAAAGGCATTGATAATCTATTCCATGAAATCTTGGAAGAAAACTTCCAAATCTTTAGAGGCATTCAAATATCCAGACCCAAGAAATACAAAGGACCCTTCATAGAATCAACCCAAGAAGATCTTCTTCAAGACACATCATAGCCAGAATGGTCAAATCTATAGACAAAGACAAGATACTAAAATTGACAAGAGAGAAACGTCAGGTTACTTATAAAGGTTATCCTATCAGGCTAGCCTCAGACCTCTCATCAGAAACAATGCAAGCAAGGAGAGAATGAGAAAATATATTCAAAGTCTTATGTGAAAAACAGTTTCAACCAATAATACTATACCCAACAATATTATCTTTCGTATGGAAAGAATAAAAACATTCTCAGATAAACAAGACCTGAAAGAATTTGCCAGTAGCAGACCCACTCTTTAAGTTCTGAAATTTATCAGGGGACCAGCAGGTAGTGTGATCGTTAAGGTGCTAGATACTCCTACATTGCTGACCACAGTTGAGTCCCGGACCTGGTGGCTTGCTTTTTCGCTCTCTTTCTCCCTCTCTCTCTCTCTGGTCAAATTAAAATAAATGAATGGATAAATAAAATTGGATACCTACACAAATAAGAGAACAAAAGGTAACCAAGAAAATGGCCAATTTAATGCTAGGGACAAGAAATAACAATAACAATGTAGAATGTTAACTTTCAGGATTTAAATGGAAAGATTGGACCACAGCAACACTGCATTTTCAACAAAAGAGAGTTTGAACTTAAGACTGAACTGGCAAACTAGAATTTTATGACTTTCAAGTAAAACATTACTGATTTTTTTTTACTATGCTTTATTTTCCCAATTTAAGCAGTTTACTTTCTTTTGAGTTGTTAATAGGTTCAACAATATTTTAAAATATTTTTCTTGTTTGTTTCTTTAAATGGAAACATAAATTTTCTTCCTTCCTGACCCCTCTGGAATTGGAAAATATTTGGAAATATTCTTATTTTGTGGCAGAAGAGTTATTTGCATAAGTTCAATAATGTTTGTTGCATTGATTCAGAAATGGGAAATACTCATTATTGGACAAGGCATTGACTGGAATGTCATATCTGAAGATGAATCAGAATACTGTGGAACTAAGGTGGATCTCAAGTAAGCTAAGAGAAGCTCTTAGAAAGATAGCCTGGTATCATCAATAGTTCTGCCTGGCAGAGAGGATTAGAGAGGATATATGAAAGAATTTATAACGTAAAATAACCTGGACTTTTTCAGCCCAGCATTGTAATCAGTAGAGATTGCAAAAGAGCAACCACACCAGAGGAGTATTTTGAGAAAGACTTTGAAGGAAGAAAAAGAGAGGGATCTTTGCTAGCAGATGGTATATCACAGAATACTTGGGCAGGGCTGAATTGAGAAGGTTTATGTGTGACTAGTGTGCTAGGCATTTGCTTTTCAGCAATTTGAGTAGTTGACATGAAAATATTTTCTCAACAATATTTAAAACCATACTGTTTCTGTTGTTATAGAATCACAAACAAAAATTATACGAAATTATAAGAAATATTTTGAATATTATCTTTAAATTTCAGTATTTTGAAATTTTGAAAGTTGTTTATTAACTATCAAGAATTATGGAGTATGAGTTAAAATTTTTTGATATGTAAAGTAAGTTTTTGTGAAAAAATGTAAAAATAAATTTAAAAAAGAAGAAAAAATTGGAAATGAAGAGTTATATATAATGTCCCCAAAACTGGTCTTGGTTTTCAGCCCACATCTACTATTTGTCTTCAGGTATGGTCTCAGCCTTGAAGGAGAAGATCACTTAATGCCCATTTGGGTGGCATCCCAGAGATGGTGCATGATCAGTCACACAGTAATTACATAGATGACCATCACATCTAATCAGTATTACAATATCAGCAACACAAATCAGGCAAGTAGCTTAGGGAAGCTAGATGTAACTCAAAGCAATAATCTCCTTTGTGCTTTAAATGTTAATGTTCTATCATTCTGTTTAAATGTGTTTATATTTAATATCACACAGTAAAGTGCTATAATAATAATTGACAATGATTATTAAAACCGTTAATTTCTCTTATAAAAATTGGGCAGACTTAAATAGTGAAATAAACATGGAAATAGACTGATAATTAATACAAATATTAAGAGAGTATGTGTTGGCTATGTAACATTAGGAAGCATAATATATTCTTTTTGAGCTAATACATATTTATAAAATTTAAATAATAATATAAGAGAGAATAACAAAGATGATATTACTCATAATCCTAGCTAATGTAAATTGTTTGGTGTATTGGCATTTATAACATTAAAAAAATCCTTAAGGTTATTCCTAATTTCAATTTTACCCATGGGTCTTTTTTTTAATATTACTTATTTTTAATTTATTTTTAATTTGAGGAGAGAGAGAGAGAGAGAAAGTGGGAAAGCAAGTCATCAGGTCCAGGACTTGAACCATGGTTGGTCATGTGGGAGTGTCCAGCCCCTTAACCACCACGCCACCTGCTGGTCCACTAACCCATGGGTCTTTTTTTTAAAAGTCTTATTTGAGAATTTTTCACATCTCACAAGAATAAATTAAAAACAAATTGTCAGCTTGCCACATATAAATCAAATGAGATGGTAAAAATCCAAAAAGCATGTACAACATTGCCAACCTTTCTCCCTTAATCCAGATATTATAAAAATTAAAACAGTATGGGAAAAAAAGTGCCAGAAAAGGATGAGGTACCCCAGAATATGAAATTTAAAACAACAGACATTATGAAACTGTCTTAAAGGACAATTCCTTATCATGTTGAATCTATGGAGACTAAAAATGGAAGCAAAAGGTTATCAAATTGATTACTACATATTGTGAATCATTTTTAAGTATAAATTAAAACTTGTATATTACTTAATATGTTGCTTCATGAAACCAGTTTTTAATCCAACAAAGCAATTAAGTGCTGTTTTTAATGAACTCTATTATTTGCACTAGAGAAACACTATATAAGTAATCCTAACCACCACCTGGTCTAAAACACTGTGAAATCTAGTCCAAGTTCACCTTTACTTGGCTTGAGACACACAGGAATTCTAGAAAAGAGAACACCCACGAGAGTATTTGTATAATTTTGGAGAACAAGTCTTAAATCAGATAATAATCTATACCTAGAATTTACTAACAAGTTTTAGTTTCCAGATTATGTTAGAAATTATTAAGAGCTAATGAAGTAACTGTCATCCAAAAATAAAGCTGTAATGAACATTTGATTACTACAGTGTGTGAACTATATAACAATGTTTAAGAGCATTTAATAAATATTAGCTGTTGTTCTCTATTAATAGTTGGAAGATTCTAGAAACTATTTAGAGTCTTATTTATATTTGTATTTACAACAAATACTTCCTAGCAATTCAATTTCCGAAACTGGAAAAACACATATACATACAATTTCTAACCTTTAGCTCTGTTGAGGCAGAAGCTAATTTTTTTGCCTCAGTTAACGCACGCAACTGTTGATAGTCGACTGGTTTATACTTGGTGTTTCTCATCCCATTTTTCATACGGAATACCAGATTATCTATTTTTCACAAAAACAGAAAAATAACAAAGAAATAGTATTAGGTTATTCAAAATCAAAATATAGTTAAGGTAATATGTTGACTTTAGGCATCATTTTAAAATATTTTTAAGTAAATACAAAAATAATATACTACAACATTCATAATATATTTGAATTCTATTTTAGAAACTTTAAGACTATGGGCACTATATTTCTGGCATAGCACTACTTCTACAAGGGCATAGGGAGAATACTTCCATACATATAAGTTAATGTGTTAAGGATTTTAGAAAATATGATGCCAAGATACGAAGTATGACCACTGTTAAATCTTAGTTTTCATCTAAAAATTGTTAGGCATCTACAGTGAATATTTAGGCATCACGTCATTAGGAATCAAATTATAGCAATTATGAAATCAAATCATGGGACCAGCAGTTAGCATAATGGCTATGTTGCTGGACTCCCATGTAGTCGACTGTGGTTCGAGTCTTGGACCCGGTGGCTTAAACTCATGCCGGGTGCGTGTGCGTGTGTGCCCAAGATCCCTAGAGGAGAATGGAGGAGAAGGGATTGCGGAGTTGCCATCCCCCCTGGGGGGTGATTTCTCACTTTCTGTCTCTCTGTCTCTCTCTGTCTTTCTGGCGAGTGCACACACCCTATAGCAAAAAATAAAAAACAAAAAATTAAAAAATAAAGACATCAAATCATATACATTTGAAATAATATTAATCAAATTACATAAAATAAATCAAATATATAGATTTTTAAGTCAGACATGCATTTCTAGCTTCAAAAAGTTAAAATAATTTTAGTTAAATTTGAAAAATAAAGGTGAAATTTGAAAGCTAAACATTTAACAGCCTAAAGATTAAAATGATGTGAAATGCTTGAGTATTCTCTATCCAAACACCCCAGCTTGGTATGATACTAGCCGTTCTGATAAACTGAAACATAGGTAGAAGGTACTCTAAGGTCATGCAGCAAGAAGTATAATAACCTGAGTAACCCAAACGATAATTGTACTTTCACCTCAATTATATACATAATTCTCAGCACCACCGAAATAATTAGATTTATTAAGTAAATCATGGATCACATGTCTCTAAGAGTCTCCTGAATAATTGCAGGCCAAACAGAATGAAGGAAATCAAAATCTTCTTGACCACTGTTAAAGATGAAAGTAGACCCACTGTAAGGTAACTAGCCAGCCAGTTGATGTAACCAAAAAATGAGCTTCCCATTGTTAAATTTTTAAAGTCAACATTCCAATTTCACTTCATTTCAAAAGTGCATATTCCACTTTCAATTCTAAGAAAGAGTTGAAATTAGAACATACCCGCACTATCATTTCTCTGAATGGTTGTGAATGGTCCATCTCTTTCATTCATGTTTTTCACATCTGTCAAGAAAACAAGAGATAGCCGAAGTTCTAAAATATTTTTACACATGTGTTAAGTGAATTAATTTAAAAATTTTGATGCTCCTAGCTCCTAGAAGCCTCCCTCCATCAGTGTTTTTTTTCTGTGCTTTTCTCGTCATTGGTCATTTTTCTAATCTTTTCCCTCTTTTTGATGATAAGTAATACAGTGCTTGTGGTAGACATGGAGATGGAATAGTCAGGTTGAAGGGCCAGCTACCTGGCTGAGGGGCGCAGTCTGCAGTCTCCAGCTGCCACTGCTTTCAGAACTCAGCTACAGAGAACAGCTTCATCCAAAGGCATGCCTTTCCTGAGGTCAGTCATACAGTGACAGAACAGGCAGAGACATAAAGGTATCTGAGCACAATGCGGGACACTGATGGGCAGTATGTGTTCCAGAGATTCCTGCTCGGTTGGCCCAGATTTTGGTGGGCCTGTATGGAAGTTGACTTATCTACCCAGTTCTGCTTCCTCTGCTCTTCCACAGGTGTGGATGCCTGATAGACCGCTTGCACCTCAAACTGCCTCATCATGCTTCTCAAGAACCTAAACTGTGAGGGAACCAGCAGTTAGCATAATGGCTATGTCGCTGGACTCCCACGTAGTCGACCGCGGTTCGTGTCCCGGACCCGGTGGCTTAAAACTCACGCCGGGCGCATGTGCGTGCATGTCCAAGATCCCGAGAGGAGAATGGAGGAGAAGGGATTGCAGCGTGACCATCCCCCCTGGGGGGTGATTTCTCACTTTCTGTCTCTATGTCTCTCTCTGTCTGTCTGGCAAGCGCACGCGCCCTACAGTGAAAATCTCTCCAAAAAAAAAAAAGAACCTAAACTGTGAAAGCACTAAAAGAAATTGACTTTTTTTAGAGAGAGGGATTTTGTGTGTTCACTCACAGGAGACAGACAGAGAGAGATAAAGAGACAGAAACCAAGAAATCACCCACAAAGGTGGATGGCCACACTGCAATCTCTTCTCCTTCATTCTCCTCTTGGAATTTTGGGCAGGCATGCACATGCCCCCCATGTGAGTTTTAAGCTGCCAGGTCCAAACTCTAACCACAGCTGACTATGTGGAAGTCCAGTGATGTAGCCATTCTGCCATGTGCTGGTCCCAAAACTGACATATTTTTAAGAACATATCACTTCCAGGACAGACAGATTAGTCAAGGAGCTCTTTAGTAAGAACACCCACATTTTGCAAATTTCTGTTTCATATTCCCCAGGTTGAACTACATGTATAGTAGCTTTTGCAGTGATCTAATCTTTCTTTTTTTTTTTTCTTTTTTGGAGAGATATTTTAGCTATAGGGCACGTGCGCTCGCCAGAAAGACAGAGATAGACAGAGAGACAGAAAGCCTGAAATCACCCCCAAAGGGGGAATGGCAACACTGCAATCCCTTCTCCTCCATTCTCCTCTCGGGATCTTGGGCACGCATGCACCCCCACCCACATGAGTTTAAACCACTAGGTCTGGGACCTGAACCGCAGTCGACTACATGAGAGTCCAGCGACATAGCCATTACACTAACTGCTGGTCCCAATCTAATCTTTCTTAAATCAAAGAGAAAATAGAAATGGTCCATGACTTTTGGAAACTCTGCCCCGTTACCAAGAATCATGGTAATTTCTCATCAGCCTGAAACATGTACTGATAAACTCCAATGTGTAATATCTACAGGGTTTCTGATCAAGGAAGTATTCTTTCAAGCCTTTAATAATATTGGCAATCCTCCTATAGGCCAGTTTCTACTCAGACCCACATCTATCCATTAAGATTCCTCTTCGAGAGCTGGCACTATAGCTCAGTGGTTGAGATCTTGCATAGTGAGCTAGATCATACATGCCTAAATGTATTTTGAATCCCAGCCCCAGTGGTGGCTTGAAAAACACACTTGGAATATTTGCGTTCATGTCTGAAATCCTGATAAAATTTAAGAAGACGGTGGAGGGTTGCAGCATTGCTTTTTCACTCTCTTTCTGGTATGCACATGGGCCTTCTAGCAACTAAAAAAAAAATTTTTTTTGCAAAATGCACGTCTAATATATCCAATTTCACTGCTTCTACATGTGTTAAGACAACATCTTTTTAAAAATTATTTTAATTTTATTATTATTATTTAGTTTAACAAGAGAAAGACAGGGGGCTGGGTTGGGGGGAGCAAGCGAGAAAGCCACCAGGTCCGGGACTCAAACTGCCATCAGCCCTATGGTAGTCTAGCACCTTAACCACCATACCACCTGCTGGCCCCATCTTTCTTTTTTATTTTGATTGTGATTCCAGTTTACATATAATGATCATATATCTTTGTAGGGGTACTTTATGGCTTTCCAAAGCAAATATACAGTGTGTAATAATCAAATCAAAGATATGGGTACATTCATCTTTCTTGACACTGATATTACATTATGTTGTCCACATTCAATAATAGTTCTACTAGTTTTCTCTTGTTTTGGAAGTACATGTTGAATTGTTAATATCATTTTACTCTACTGTAGTACATAGTCTCCTAAACTATTCCCCCTGTAAATATGCATTCTTGTGTCTGCCGAGAATTTTCTCCTGAATCCCTCCCCGAACCTCACCCTGCCCTGATTATAACATGACCACGTTCCATTGAAGGATGTCTTCTCTTTTTCTCTGCTAAGCATATGTAAAGGAAGAAAGCACCCTCTCAGGAGGGATGGGCACACCACAATCCCTTCTCGTTTTTCTCCTAACTATCAAGATTTTAGGCATGTACATACCTGTACCTGACATGTTCTTCAAGTCACAAGGACTGAGGTTCAAAATATGTGGTTAGCCATGTGGGATCCAGCTGCCTTTGACCACCTGTTCATGGACTAGCCTATCCCTGTGTTGATACTTAAGCATCTGGTGGAGTACTCACTTCTTACAGTAAAGGAGGTGAATTGTCTCATGTTAATGACAACTGTTGCACTGTCGGGTGATTGCCAGAGTTCTCGGACACTATGTAGGTTGTGGGGATCCTCCTTCAAGCAAGACGGTTGAATGGAGATATTGGTTGAAAGTAAGTAATATCCTCTGCCTAAACAGGTTGCACACAAGAGGGATGTGGGTGCTGGTTGACTCAGAGGGTGGCTAGTGCCATCTGTGTGCACTACTAGAGATGGAAGAAGCTGTTTGCCCCACTTTCTGAGTCTCTCCACAGCCACAGATCCCCTCCACCTCTGCGGGCAGTTTACTATGTGAGGAGGGAGGCTGCTGTTTGTACTGATGGGGGGTCTGGGCCCATCTCCGCAGTACAGGCAGTTGGGCAGGGGCTCTGAGAAAGTAGCACAGGTAGGTGCTAGCAGATGCTTGGGGAACTCTGGTCAAGCTTCCATGGTTCTAGCAGGTGCCTGCTGCTGTATAGCTGTCCCTAGGTGGGCCTTCAACCGTACTTCCATCTCCTCTTTTCTGCTCAGGAAGGGATATCTCAGCGCCCTCCTCCCCATCAGTGGCTCTCTCTCCCTTTCCTCCTCTCAGACTCACATTTTAGAGAAATTCCAAGAAGTGACACTGCAGATAGCAACAGAGGGGACAGAGAGGTTTTCTGGAGTTTTGAATTCGGTGGGTGAGGGAGTTCCACTGCAAGCCTCTCAGGCAGTTAGGGGAGAAGGTCCAGGCTCCTGTCTCTTCAGTGGTGGGTGGAAGGAGTGACTCATGAGCCACATTCTGTTCCTCAGAGCACTCCTCCCACCACCTTGGTCTGTCTGTGTTCTGGTGTGTATAACACTGCATGGGCTCTGGTGCAGTGCCATGGCCCTACTGCTTGGTCTAGCTGGGATGGTCTCCACAGTCACCTTGCAGTATATACTACATAAAACAAAACATTTTCTGATATTTGGGGGAAGAAAAGAGGGAACATGGGAACCAGCAGTTAGCGTAATGGCTATGTCGCTGGACTCCCACATAGTCGACCGCGGTTCGCGTCCCGGACCCGGTGGCTTAAAACTCACGCCGGGCACATGAGCGTGCGTGCCCAAGATCCCGAGAGGAAAATGGAGGAGAAGGGATTGCGGCGTGACCATCCCCCCTGGGGGGGGTGATTTCTCGCTTTCTGTCTCTATGTCTCTCTCTGTCTGTCTGGCGAGCGCACGCACCCTATAGTGGAAACCCCTCCAAAAATGAAAAAGAGGGAACAGATTAATTCACTGTGTTTGTTCTAAAAATGAGAAATCCTGACCAGAAACTGTAACTGGCAGTTCTGAGTTTTGACAAATCAACTTGGGAAATTAAGTACTTACTTATGAAAAAATATAATTTATGAAGAAACAAAATTTTGTTCCTAATTCCCCTATCCTACCACCATCAAATGTGGAACTCATAGAAGAAGGGTAATATAAGTAATCCAGTGTCAGAATCAGCAGTTGGCGTAATGGCTATGTCACTGGACTCCCATATAGTTGACAGGGGTTCAAGTCCTTGGACCCAGTGGCTTAAACTCACACTGGGCATGTGTGCATGCATGCCCAAGATCTCGAGAGGAGAAGGGATTGCAGTGTGGCCATCCCCCCACACACACACACCCCGGGAGGTGATTTCTTGCTTTCTGTCTCTCTGTCTTTCTGGAGAGCACACGTGCCTATAGCAAAAACCTCTGCAAAAAGAGAGAGAGAGAAAGTAATCCACTGTTTTGGAACAATTCACTACTTCTCCTCCTTACTTAACTTACCATTTGGGACATGCTTAAATTTAAGATGTGTAGATCTTGAGACAATCTGGACATTTTTTTTCCTACCTTGCATATCTGGATTTGAAGAACAAGGTTCACCCACTTCCTCCTGGCTCCTTTAACTCCTAACCTCACTGTCAGTAGGCGGGTATTATGTAATCCACCCTCTCCAAATCTTTTGTGTAGATCTTTCCAATACCGATATTTGTTCTTTTAGCCCCAACCACCATTGCATAGCTGCCCAAATGGGTGATGTCTCGAAAACCCAAATATGTCATAAAACTCCCTGATCTACCAAATGGTTTCT